TATCGACATCGTAAACATAATGACGAAAGAAAATATTTAAAAATTCCCGAGGAAATGTGGATTTTTTTATTAATATTTTTTTAAATTTTAAATTTTATCATATTTTTTTAAGAATTAAAATTAATATTACCTTAATTTTTAACAAGATTGTAAAGCCATATTAGTGTTATAACAGTATTTCAGTATTGTCAATCATAATAAATAATAAGTCCTCATCTGATCATATTTTATTCTTTAATTTTAATGCTTACGATATTATTCGATTTCTAATTTAAATTAACTGCATTCCATGGCTGCGAGCCTTATTTCCTCATCATTATAATTTTTGCATCTTAAAATGTGTTTAACAACATTTGCTCACGTTGCCCTCATAATTTCTATATTTGTTATCTAAATTTTATTTTGTTTAATATCAAAATTTAATCACAATAATCAGTTTTTCAATGGAATTTTAATGAATTTCTAATTTAATTTTTTTTTAATCAATTCTTAATTTTACAGATTATAACCTGGTGCTCTCTAAATATTAATTCCTCAATGAACTGTAAATAATTTTTTTGGTTTATGAATTTGGAAATGAACTTTAGTCTTCRGGATGAAGGACAATTACAAGTAAATTAACTGGCTAATATTGTTATATTTAAATTAACAGTAAAATATATTATATACATGTGTTTTTAGATTCTGAACGAAGTGAGGAATGTATTGATTTTACAATGATGTATGTTTTTTATTTTTTTGTCTGTCATCACGTTTTAGAGTAGAGATAATGCTTTGATTTTGACTTCAGCCCCTCTTTGAAAACGAAAATTCATCTAGTTGGTATTTTGGGAGGTTCAAAAGTAAAAATGTCCAGTAGCTTTCAAAATCGTCAGGAAAACCCCCAAAAAAGTACCTAACTATAAAAACAGGAATTTTTACGCATAATCAGTTTTCAGCAAAATTGATTTTTTATTTTTCTGTAATTCAAAAACGAATCATTGTAAGTGTTTAAAATTTTCACCAAATGTTTATATTAGCGTTATTTATTTACAATTCAATTTTTTAAGCTACCTATTTATAGACAATTGAAATTTTCGATTTTTCTAAGTTTTTTTTTTTTAAATACCTATAAAAAAAATTTGGCTAAAATTGTAATATTTCATTTAGAAATGATGTGTCATCATTTTGTAGATGAGTGTAATAATTTAAATCAAAGTTTTGTATAATATACTGATTAGTGGATTCGTTTCTCTGGCAACTGATAGGTAGGCTCGTAGTCTACGGACATAATATTTTATTAGATTATAATAATATCTGTGTTAAATGTTGCTTGATAACTCAGAAGTCGTTACTGTTTTATGCAATATAAAGGTCTATACAATGTTGAAGCTGTATTATAAGTCTACAGAAATCTATATGTGATACAGTAAAATAATCATCATTTATATGTAAAGCAATTGAACTCTGCTTAACATTAGTTGAATATGTAAAGTTATCAGTTATTTTTGTACTTCTACATCTGATGTGTAAATTATTATAATAATTAAAATGGAATTACTAATTAGATTCAGAAATAAGTGTAAACTAATATTTCAAGTTTAAATTAATAATTTTTTTCGATAATTTACTTTCTAGTAACACAATAATCGAAATTTGTTTGTTAATTAATTAATAATCCAACTGTAACACTATTCTTGCTRTATGGGCAAATATCGATGGTTGATTTTGATAATACGACTGACTATTGCCTATAGGTAGAATAATGATGAAAAAGTTGAATAAAAATAATGTTTCAGTCTATCAATATTCAATATATAAAATCTAGTATAATATAACTGACGGAGTACCTACTTATTTTGGACTAAGGTTTTTTTCCTTATACATTTTCAGGTAAATTTCAAATTCTTAACCCTCTCGGTACGCGCATGCGCA